CGACTAAAATCAACCAGTTCTGTGAGCATCCTGATCACCAGTGTTTTGACGTGTGCATCTGAAAGTTTTGCTATTTCTTCATCACTTAGATTTATGGGCTCTGGGGCCTTGAGATCTTCTTGAGCCATTTTTAGTCTTTTTGTGCCCATTAAGTATGAGGAGCAGAGCCTTAGGGCTGGGGTGGGGCCTCCGGGGGGGGGTCGCTGGGTTGTGACGCTGTATGTGGTGGTGGGGTCAGAGTGGGGAAATGGCATCCCCCTCTCCTGCTTCCCGCTGCTGGATAAGGAGCGAAGCCTTGGATGTGCACCCAGGTAGGGTCACTCAGGTTGCTGGGTTGTGACATTGTATGTGGGGGCGGGGTCAGAGCCGGAAATGGCGGCCATCTCTGCTGCCTCAGGTCACTGGGACTCGCCCGGTCCCGTCTCACTGCCCATTCCCTGGCTGGTCTATCTGCGCAGGAATGTGGGACCACAGTCAACCCGCTATGCCCTTCACCCTCGCCGGATCCACAGGTCGCTCACTGGGTCCTGCTCACTGGGTCTCGCTCACTGGGTCTCGCTCACTGGGTCGCACTCACTGGGTCGCACTCACTAGGTCATTCACTGGGTCGGCCCTTTGCAACCCCAAGCCTGGGATCCGCACACCTGAGTCTGTCTGACGGAGTTTTCCTGTGCAACCCTCGCTCCGCCAGCTTCTGGTTTCGCCCCTCTTACCAGTCAGGCTGAAGAATTCGTTGTTATCGGACTTCCTAAAAGTTCAGTTTTCTCTGTTCTGGCTATGTTTTCTGTTGCTAATATTTTGTTGTCTCTAAACTTGGTTGTGTGAGAAAGCACAGCGTCTCCACCTATGCTTATATCTTGGCAGAAGTCTCTTCAAGTTAAACTTGCACTTGGGAAATTACTGCAACTTCTGAAAGACTTCTTGGGACATGGAGTTGCTAAGCCCCCAAATCTTGCTGTGGGCCCCTACTCTTAAGACTCAGAACTAGATACCCTAGGAAGAAGGACCAGCCTCTGCCTCCAGAAACCTTAATTGCTAGTTTACAGATCTTGACTGTAGCCACTCATTCAGGTCTCTGAGCCAGATAGGTGTCATACCGTATTCTAGGTCTTGGGTGGATCACATACATAAAGAAAACAGTAAGCAGGTAGGAGTAAGGGAGAGATAAGACTCTCCTAAATGCCAGTCTGTTCGTTTTACCATGAAAACTGAGGTGCAGCGATAAACAGGAATTTCCCCCTTAGGGTGGAGTTGATGATGTGGCTAGGACTTGAACCCAGGTTGGATTCTTTATGTACAACTGCCACATACAGTGGTGTATGAGGGCAGAGGGGGTAGGATGAGGGTGAAATTAGTCCACATTCTTCATGTGGACTAGCTACACTCCAGTGCTGTGTCCTCACTGTCCCAATCCCCTTTGATGAAAGCCCCTTTCACTGGAACGAACAGCTGAGGTTCCCCAGAGCAGCAACCAACCATCATTGGTAGGAACCAGGAGAGTTTGGACCCTTTCATTGGGATGTAATCCTGACAAGCCATATACTCCCAATTCTTATCATGAGTGAAAAGAGTCTGTTCAACTTAAATCCATCAGAAACATACCTAGGGCCAAGGTCTCTACGATGATTTTAACAATAATTTTCTATACTACCATCGCATATGAAAGGGAAGAATGTTAACCATTTTCCACGTTCTCCAACCCTTTACTCTTCACGATCCCAAGCTGAGAATCTGTCACTGTTCAACCCCACATCTAAAACCCAATCTGGGTGATAGGGATAATTAACTCAACTCCGTAAATATCTATTCTTGACTGGGTGCTAAGGATGCAACAATGAATGCCATCAGCAGTAACACACTGCTGTCCCTGACTTCATGGAACTAAGATATGCTGAATGCACAGTGGGGTAAAGCCCATCTGCTAAGAAGTTCCTGAGCAGACTGGCAATCTACTTAGAGGCCAGGTCCAGAAGCAAGAGTGTGTGTGATCAGCTTATTCTCCCCTCCCTCACCCCCTTTTACAGAAGAAAAATGAGGTCCAGGAAGGAGAGGAAGTGACTTTCCCTGAGTCTGACAGCTTGACAGTTGAGCTAAACTGTTGAACCATGTTCTCGGGGTCTCCCCTTTCTACCACATTACCTCCTAAAGTTCCAACGTAGCAAAGTGAGGAGAGATTGTTGGTTCTAGTGACGGACTGCTTCCTGACGCATAAACACCCAGAACGTGCAGTTCCAACCCATCTTATCAGCACAGACCCAGTGCCCATGTCCATCCCTCAAACTGGAATGTTGATAAATATACTTCATGGATCTAGAGCCTAGGTGTTCAGTCTTCATTCACTTTCATTTATCACTCTCTCTGACTCTCTCTTGGTGTTTACTTTCACTTTAAAAAACCTCATCTTATAAGAACAGAGCCCTTTTTATCTGATGCCAGCTCCCCCTCTGCTCCTGGGGTCTAATCAATCCATGTCTGGAAATAAACAAGCCAGAGAGGAAAGCAACAGTCCCTTTTATTAAAACAAGCACCTTTCTAAAATGATCCACCCTTGGGCACGGCACAGATAGAAATTTAAATGAGGAAATAAAGACATTCTCCAGCAATGGCCACATGCATTCCCCAGCAGGTGGGACACTAGGGAAGGTAACTGAGTTAAGAGATAAGCCAAAAACTCTGCCCCACATTATTCAGGTTGTTTGGGAGGGTGAGAGAGTTGGGGTCCAAATTCAGGAAACCTGAAGAGGCAACAGGCTTCAAAACATAATAGTGTATATAGTCCAGGCCTCTCCATTCTGAGGAGCTTAAGATCTTCAAGGTAGTAAGAGGGGTTCACTGAACATCCAGTTTAGGTATATGCAAGTAGGCCTCCAGCTACTACTGGGGCACACTGAGATGCCAGAGAGAAAAATCCAGACATCTGGCACCCAACATGGACCTCCGCCCATCATGTTATTTCACAGCCACCTGCAGAGCATAGTCTCCACGGCTCCCAGCTCCCACCGCCCTCCAGCCACTGCAGCAAGTCACACCCGCAGCCTCCGCCAGCAAGGGAGGCTATCTTTGTACAGACGGGCAAAACCAAGTTCCCACTAGCCAGTCTGCCATGACTCCCAAACCCAGGCTTTCAGAAATGGGCCACATATCTAGACACAAATGCAGAAAGCACCTCTTCTGGAAGAGCACAGTAGTTAATTCTTAATTATTTGGAGAGCTTTTCGAAAAACGTATGGCAGCCCCAGACACCCCATGAAAAACTGCACCCATGCAGATCGTATGTGATTTCACTGGGGGTTGCTGCCCTCTGAGGAGGTCTGATGGGCAGAAAGAGAGATTTGTGAAAGAGAGCTGTGGGTGGCCCGGGTGAGTATTCAACAGTTTCTTAACCAAAAAGATGTCCTTTCCTTAGTTACTGCAAGTTCCAGCCTTTAATTAACCTTTGAGATAGCAACAAGAATTTGGAAGTTGAGAGCGAGTGTGCGCACACACACACAACAAGGCCTCATCTTGTCTTCCTATCTTGAAGTCATAAATGTCCTGTGATTGTCCAAGCAGGACTGAGTAACTGCAGAGATGAAAAGTGGGGGGAAAACCCTGGCCAGATAACTCAATTGGTTGGAGCATCATCCTGATATGCCAAGGTTGCGGGTTCAATCTCCGGTCAGGGAACATACAGGGATCTACCAGTGAATGCATAAATAAGTGAAACAACAAATCCCCCCTCTCTCTCTCCCTCCCCACTTCCTTCTCTCTAAAATCAATAAAAAAAAATTTTAAGCTAAAAAAAAAAAAAAAACAGGAAGTGGAGGAAAGGTGGGAGTTGGGAGGGAAGATAGCCTGACAAAGAGAGAAGGACAACTGAACTCTCCGCGGGCTGAGTAGGTCTTGCTTGGCAGGACAGGTCCTGACCCTCACTGCCTGCTCCCTCTGGAAATCACAGCAAACCTGCTGACTCCTTTGCAACAAACTGAGAAGTCCAGAGAGAAGCAGCCCTTTCTCCCTGGGTCCTTGTAGGGTGTTGGGGGAGCATCTCTCCTTTCTAGGGAGAAGACCCTCACCCACTGCTTGCCCACAGCCCCCTCGTGGCCTGGGGGTGTTACTGCAGCCTCTCTGTACTGCTGAGCACCAACCTCACCCAAGCAGCTCTGACAGTGGTAGAGCAGAATATTTAGGTACCAGTGGCAGCTTGGCGACAGTTTCAAGCCATTGTGAGGCTGTATTTGCTTTTGGTTTCTTAAACTAAGACTAAGATTCAGACTTAAAGTGATCCTTCTAAACTCCTCCTTGATACAATACCTACAGGGACCAAGTCCAAGACCTGCTTCAGTAAACCAGTAACCTTGAAGCTTCTGTAACGTTACCACCACCTTACTGATCATTTCTTCCTGCATCACATGATATTATGTGCAACTGTTCCGAAGCTCAATAGAAATAGTTAACAAGAATGCACAACATCCTCTAGTTCATAGATTGGCTACAAAAGACTTGTAGGACACCAAACGCAACGCACGCCCCCCCCCCACACACACACACACAAATCCTGGGTTTCCAGGTAGCAGATCCCACAGGGGTTTGGGGGAAGTCAGGACTTAAGGATACTCAGTAAGAAAGAAAATGGCCCTTGGCCGGGTGCAAGCAAATAGGGTGTCCATTGAAGAACTTTACTAGAGACTACACAACACTCTTACTAGCAACTACACAAAAGGAAGGAGTGGAGCCCACCCACCCGGGCTGGGACTGGACTGAAAGACCATTCTGGGGGTGGGGGAAGTTGGTCTAGTGGTTCAGCTACCACCTCTCAGGGGTGGGGATCATGAACGGAACCCAGTGGTGGGAAAGTGAGCAGGGAGGAATAAAAATGGGAAGTTTGGGAGGGGAAAAGAAGGTACAGAGTGTGCCCAGGGGGCCTAGAGTAGACGAGGGATCAGGATTGACTGGGGCCAGGGGAAGTGGTGGAAGCACAAGAGGCTCTTTTCTTTTGGGGGTGGGGGAGAAGTCCTTACCTCCTTGATTTTCTCCCGCTGGGTTTGAACTAGGCTCTGGGGCTCCTCACTCTCATCAGTTGTAGTCCCCAGGACCGGGTGGCGGAGGCGGCTCCTGAACGCGTTGAAGTCAAAGCTAAATGGAATGCTCCCCTCCTGGGGTCTGAGGGCCTCGACACCGCTGCTCCGGGGCTCCGTGGCCTCCTCCCGTGTCCTGGTGGGGTGAGTACGCCGCAGCCACCCTTTCCTGCTGCGGGTACTGGCTAGGCTGCTGGGGTGGTCCTCGCCCGGGGCTGGCGCAGCAGGAGCAGGTTTAGGGGGAGATTCCTGCTCTCGGGCCGAGGGTTGGCCGGGGACATCGGCAACTACCTCCAGGCCGGGATGCTGGGTCCGGGGCGCCAGGAAGAGGCGCTTGAGGCGAGAGGAGTTGGGCAGTAGGAAGAGGGCCCCGAAGCACAGGGTGGCGAGGCCTGAGAGGAAAAGAAGGAAAAGGAACTTCTGCGGCAAACGCAGCCCCCACGGGGAGGCCGGGACGAAGCCGGGCACTTTCCTCATGAGCATCCTGGCTTGGAACAGAACCGGGGACAGTCAGCTCCAGCCGGGCCCCCAGGCTCTCAGAGTCTAGGCACTTATCAGCAGGGGCCTGGGCTAGGGGAGGTCGACAAGGGGCGCCGTCCGGGATGGCGGGGGGTCTCTGAGAGTTTCGGCCAGTCTAGTACTGCCTCTAAAGGATGAACTTCCTTCAGAGTTTGGAGCGAGTCTTCCCTCGCCGAGGCGGGGGCGCAGCGGCCTTGGCGGGGCCCGGGCGAGCTGGGTGACACGGCTCAGGGCCCGGGCCCGCAAGGGCCGGCCGTGCAGCTCCTCCTCGCAGCTGCCGGGCCCGCGCCTTCCCGCGCTGCGGCCGTTGCTGGGGCTGTCACATGCCGTCCGCGGTATCGGGGCTGTCCGCGGTACCGGGGCTGTCGATGCAGAGGGGTGCCCACAGGCCTCGTCCACGAGCCGAGCCGCCCTCAGCCCCTTGGCCCAAAGTTTCAGCCTCAGAAGCAGTTCCCAGAGGGAGCAGACTGGCGGGAGGGAGGCAAGACAGTTGCGGGGCTGGTCTGTCAGAGGCGCTCCGAGAGTGCGTTGACCCGGCCAGATCGCGACAGCGCCAGGACTCGGCTATGTGGACACGTCCACAACTTTGTCCCTCCGCAGAGCGAGCGCCAGGCAGCGGGAGCTGACACTTCTGAGCCTGCCGGGGCAGAGGGCTTCGCGGGCCCCAGTGAGCGCAGGGATGCCCGAGCCTGAGTCTGGAGCCCGGCCGACTGCGACCAGTCACGGCGGGGTGGCTGCAGCTGCACCTGGGAGTGCGGGTTCTCGCACTGCCAACTCGGGAGGGCTCCGGGTTCCCGCTGGGATCACCTGTTCCCGGAGACCGCCGGCTCCGCGGAGCGCGGAGCCCCGGCTGCGGTTCTTCCACTGCGGTTGGCGTCCTCACAGCGGCCACTCCAGACGGGCCAGTGCTGCTGCAGGCTGAACCGCCGTCACCGCTGAGCCTGCGTCCCACGCGTACAACCACCTCGCCGCCTCCGCTGCCTCCGCCGCCTCAGCAGCCGCCGCAGCAGCCTAGCTTTCACTGAGACAGCGCCCGCGGCTCCGCCTCCCACCGGGCCACGCCCTCAGGCCACGCCCACTGCGCGCCCACGGTCCACCTCGGCGGCGCCGCAGCCAGGCCAATGGCCTCACGTCTGTGGGTAGGGAGTGTGGGGCCTCTGCGAGGGTGAAGAGAAGGAACTGGACTCCAAGCCACGCCCCCTTCTTCAAATAGCCAGCACAGTGCACGCTCCCCCCATCCCATCAGCACCAATGGTCCAGCTGCGCGGGGGGGTTGGCGAGGGCGGGGTGGGGAGCGGAGCGAGGTCATTGGCTGTCTTGGAGGGATCCTTGTTGGGCCGCAGTAACCCATTGGTTAGTATCCAGGTTCGCTGGACTGGAAGCGACTGAAACCCCCCTTCCGCCCCCGCCGCGCCACTCCGGTTGTTCATCTCTCTCGTTGGCCCCTCGGGGGCGGCAGACCTGGCTAAACTGGAGGGCTCTGGTCATCATTAGGTAACCTGTCTTACCCCTCAGTGTCAGTCCAGGATTGGCAAGGCGCTGGGGGCCTGCTCAGGGGTCTCCAGAGCTTCTGCAGGAGCCACGGTGGTGTGTTGTGGCAGGCTGTGAGGAAGGGGTGGCTGGAGCCAAGCCAGGGAGCTGTGGCTGGGGTTGGGTCTGGTTAAGGCAGTGTTTTGAGTGGACCCCCGCAGACCACTGCTCTGCTTTCCTTTTCCCTCAGCCCAAAACCGGACCAGGACCCCTGGGTCAGGCACGGAGACATGCTAACTGCAAAGGTAGGAGGGCAGGAAAGGAGAGGACCCTGGCTCTGTGCACTCAAGATCGCACACATGTGGCATGGGTTCCTAGGTGCCTGCATGTGTTTATGCGCACTTGTGTGTTCCTCTGCATAGATATATATGCACTCACAGATTGTGTGTGGGTGTGTACTTGCACACAAGCATACACTTAATTTAGGTGTGGACACTAAGTGATTATACCAAAGCATGCATAGACATACACATCAGCTCAAATATTGGCATGTGCACTCACATATCCACAGATGCACAACAGACAGGCCCCAAAACATGCACATGTACACACTGCCCAGAGTCGTGTGTCTCGACCTCCAGGCCCTCATTCTTTCCTCCTTGCACTTAAGTCTCTCTGTGTCTTTCCTTCCTGTTAGGAAGGAAAACGCAGGGCAAAGCAACATTGTGCTGTGTGGGTCTTTCATGCAAAACACTTTTATAGAGACAAATAACAGCAGAGGGAGAAACAAATTAAGAGGTGTAATAGGCAAGAGGGAAAATATCTGCTTTCAGCTGCAATTTAAAATGAAATGCAGCGTTGACAAGACAGAAAATACTGCAGGGAGGACTTTCCTGACAGAAGAATCGGCCCAGGCGGCTCTCACCTCGTAAATCTTGCTTCTTCTCTGAGGTCCGCTACCCATGGGCTTTTGGGATTCAGATATATACCTCTGGCCAGGCCACTGACAGCAGACCGTCCCCTGATATTTAAATACCCTTGACATATAAATCTCTTTCAGTTGAAAATGAAAAGCTAGTCTGGGTAACAGGTGCAAATAATTTGGCCATTGGGTTGAATAACCCCTCCCAACCCCAGAAGTTCTAATTCAGATGTTTCAGTCTCTGATGAGTTTGATTGGCAGGAGCCAGTTTCCTGGACACATCAGAGACAAGGATGTGATCTACTTGGATACGGGAGCCCAGACACCTGGCCTGGCCTCTCCTGATCCCCACTGCCTAAGCAGCTTCTCACTGAATCTGACCTTCGAAAGTGGCAGGCCTGTGTCTGGAGCACCAGGCAGGAACCCAGCATTCTCTGGAGGCACCTCACATTGCTCCAAATAGAAAGAGTCGGGGAGTCACTGTTCAGTCCCTCGAGAAGGTAGGACCCAGGAGGAAGGGAGGAAGGCAAGGTTGAGCCTCGGAAGAACTTGTCTGTTTGAACTGGATGCTCACAGTGCTGGTGACACCTGGACCAGTCAGTGGTATGCTGGTGACCAGGATAAAAGCAGGGCAGCAGCAAGACTAATATGCCTTCCACAGACTCAGGCTACAAAAACCAGAGCCCAGAGGACACAACTCCATTTCCAGCCAATATCATCGGGTACTTAACCCTGAGTTGGTGGTACCCAAGCTTTACAAGCTCCCCAGCAAGCTCACTGCAACTCTGGAGGTGCCCGTCCCACTCCCGCACTCCTGGACCCCACAGACCACTCAGCTCTTTTCTCACTGGATTTCTATCATCAACGTGTGTCCCACAGCAGACACCGAGTACTTCATGGCAGGGACCATGGCTCATTCTCCTCTTCTTTAAAGAAGAGGAAACTAAAACACAAAGATGTTAAGGAACTACCCTAGCTCTTAACTACAGTGCCTTGCATGTGGGCACAATATTTGGTGAGTCATGAATGAATGAATGGATGCCCATTGCACAAGTGAGGAAACTGAGGCTCAGGAAGGGTAATAATAGTGAACTGACATTTTCTGTGTATCAAGCATATCACTTCATTTATTTTTCAGGACAATCTTATGAGGTAGGTACTATTAATAACTTCATTTTACAGATAAGAATACTAAGGCTCAGAGAGATTAAGAGTCAGTTAACAAGTACCTTTCTCAGTTTAATTCAGAAACTAAAAAGGGATTGGGCACAGAAATGAAAGCTATTTTAAACATTGATTTATTCTGTCAACAAACATTTATGGACATTAGATGCTAAGTATCACACTAGTCTCAGGAGGACACAATGATGAGCAAGGCATGGTCCCTGTCATTGTTGATTCATTCATTTATTTAGTAAAGAACTCTTTATTGAACACCTATTATGTGCCATTTACAGAGGGGCTGGCATAATAGCCCTAAATAAGGCAGACAGACATGAAGCCTGTGTTCAGGGAATTGCTTGTCTAAAAGGCAACAGGGACCGATTCAGCCCATCAGGAAGGAAATCCCAGGCACTGGGCCCTAGCCTAAGTCCTCCACTCGCATCCCATCTGACCCTCACAATGGTCCTCTCCGAAGTAGGCCTTGAGATCCCAATGTAACAGACGGAGGAACTGAGCTTCCTGAGCATGACATGACCTGTTGAAGGACACACAGGGAATAACTTATAAATATGAGAGAAAACCAGATTCATCTAACCCCAGAATCTACGCCTTTTCTGTTAATAATATTAATAATAACTAAGGTTAGTGGGAGACTCACTATGTGTGAAGTCCTTATAAAAGCATGGTATAGAATATTATTTATCTGATCCTTACAACCACCCCATGAGGCAGGTACTATTATTGCTGACATTTTAAAGAAGAGGAAACTAAAACACAAAGATGTTAAGGAACTTGCCTGATGTCACGTAGAGGAGAAGTGGCAGAGGGGGGATTATGAACCCAGTTGGTCATTCTCCAGAGCCCCTTCTGTCTTTCTGAGTCTATTGCTCTGCATCTTTTAACACCATGAGAGCAGGTGCTGCAGAAGGTCAAGGCAGGGAAAGAGCACATTCGCCTCAGGCAAAATCACCACAGGCTTGTTGGACTGTATGAGCTCATTCAGTCATTCAACAAGTATGTATAAAGCTATGTTCCAGGCAACACACTAGACTTTAAGGAGACAATGGTGAGCAAAAATAGACACTTGATTTCCATTGCAAAGCTTTAAGTTTCACGGGGAAGAGGAGTTAAAACAAATAAGCAACCTCCAAATAAATTTGCAAGCTGAGAAAAGAGAAAGAAATGCTGCTATAATAACACGTAACATCAGATCTGGACCCAGACTTGGACTGGGTGAGAAGTGGTCAGAGAGGACTCCCCTAAGGATGAGTGGAGTTACCTGAGTTAAGAGAGATAGAACACTGAGGTTGAGGGGAGCTCATACGCAAAGGTCCTAGGGTGGGGGGTAGGGAAGGACCATGGTGCTTTCGAGAACAGACAAGCCAGAACATCTGCAGTAGAGAGAATGACAGGAAAGAGGAAATGTCACTGAATGATTTAGGGCAGGAGTAGGAATGTGTGTGTAGGGGTCGGTGGGTGGATGGATTCATATTAACACTTTAAAAAGGCTACTCTGGCTACAGTGTGAAACAAAAGAGAAGTCAGAAGTGAATGGGTACCTTCCAGAGGCTGTTGCAAGTATGTGGTATCTTGGACTGGAGAAGTGAAGGTGGACAGATCACAGAATTTGAATCATATTTAGAATCCAAAATTGATAGGACGTGGTGATGACTTAAAAATTGGATGTTGTTAGAGGGAGACATCTGCAATGACTCCCTGGTCTCTAACTTGCCTGGGGGCAGTGGCATTTGTTGGAAATGGAGCAGTGAACTCTGTGGGCTTCCTGTCTGCCTGAGGAGGTGCTGGCCAGTTGGTATGGAATCTGAATCTTAAATGGTCATTAGTCCCATTTAGAATAGAAGACTAGAAATGAAGCCAAGTGAGCCAAGAGATAATTATCAGGCAGCTTCCTTAATGGCCTCCAGATAAATTCAACCCACGGCAGGAGAGATGCTGATGAACGGGGGCCTGCCAGGTGAGAGCTCGCCAGGTCAGTCCCCAGATAAAAGGCCCTGCGGCAGTCCTAGGCTCATTCCGGCAGGCTGCAGTCAATACCTCTCTGTACAGCTGGACCGATATCAGGATTACAGAGCCCAGAGCACCTGCCCTCAGACTCTTAAAAGATCATAAAAGTTTCCTTTCAATTCTCCCCTGAGTCCTCAGCCTTGCATCAGAGGTGGCCCAGTCAGCCAGGAACAAGAATTCTCAACCAGCAGCAACTTTGCTCCCAGGGAACATTTGGCAATGTCTGGAGATAATTTTGCTCGTCACAGCTGGGGACAAGTGCTGCTGCCATCTAGTAGATAGTGGTCAAAATGCCATTAAACATCTCATGGTGCACACAACAGCCCGCCCCCATAACACAAAGAACTGCCCAGTCCCGAATGTCAGCGGTGCGGAGGATGCGCAACCCCAGCGGGAAGCCAAGGGCTTCGAAGTCACAGAGGCCAGAGTTTGCATCCTGGCTTTGCCACAAGTTGGCTGTTGATCTTGGGCAACTTGTCTGAACTCTCGGAGCCTCGATTTCTTCATCTGCCAAATGGGATCAATAGTCACACACTCATAAAGATAACATAAGGATTAAATTATGCTGAAGAAAGGAAAGTAGAGTCATTAGAACAAGGGCCCTCGGCTCAGAGTACCAGTTTGGAGTCTTGACTGACTGTCCTACCATCAGTGAGGCCTTGGGCAAGTCGCTCACCTCTTGAAGCTCCAGTTTCCTCATCTGCAAAATGGGGATAATCACAGTGCCCACCACATAGGGTGTTATGGGACTAAAGGTAAATGTCTTAGCACAGAGTCTGGTACGTAGTGAGCAGTGGAAAAAATTGCTACCCATATTATCAAAGACAAAAAGAATCAGTGCTGCCTCATTTCCTCCTAGGGAGCAACCCAAACTGAAACTTTGTAGCTCAGTTTCCAGGGAAGCTCCAATTTCAGATACTCTCTCCATGGTCCCTGTGAGTACTTGCATTAGTCAGGTTGTACCAGGGGTGCCCAACCTTTTGGCGTCTCTCGGCCACGCTGGAAAGAGTTGCCTTGAGCCACACACTAAATACACAGACACTAACAAAACAGATGAGCCAAAAAAAAAGGTCTTAAGTAAATTTATCATTTTGTGTTGAGCCGCATTCGTAGCCGTCATGGGCGAGAGCGACCTGTGGGTGGCAGATTGGACATAGTTTACACACTGATTTCCATCTCAGAAGACATGGTCCC